GGACAGGTTTAGATCAGGTTCAGGTCAAGATATGATTCTGTTCACAAATGATGACATGTCCGGTTTAGAAACGGTTCCCATAGAATTCAATAACCAGTAATCCACTTCTGATCCGGATCACACTGCTCAGAAATCGGACATGAACCTTTTTCAATCCGCATTGAATCTGCACTTCCAGTCCACCGGACGTGTGAACAAGCACCATAGGAAGCAACGTTATTTCACATGTCATGCAGAATGGATGCGGCTCATACCACATCCAACCCGCATATATGTGAACCAGCACAAAGTCATGGTAACAGTAAGAGAACTGGGAGGAGAAAAAGGGAAGCCTGGGGTTAACAGGGAAGGTGGATGTTTAAAGAAAACCTGTCACCACTCCATTTATTTCAACAACAATCTTCCCATAAGACGGCGGTTCTCAACCTGGGGGTCGAACGACCATTTCCCAGGGGTCGCCTAAGACCATCGGAAAACACATATTTCCGATGGTCTTAGGAACCGAGACACCGCTCCTGTTTCAGGCGATCTGTGGGCGGGATGATATGCTGCTGCCCCTGTAACCTGGCCACACCTCCGGGATCACTCAACAGCTCCGCCTCCCCGCCGCTGATTGGCCACCAGAACTGTAGCTCAGGAGAGGCACACAGGCGGCCAATCACCGGCGAGGAAGTGGAGCTTGGAGAGGAGGAGCCGAGCGGCAGCGCGCGGAGATCGAAGAAGATCGAGGAAGCTGCAGGAGCGAGTGAAGAGAGAGGCCAGAGAAGGAAGACAGCTGACAGGTAAGTGCAAATTTTGCTGCTGCAGCCAGGTATGCAGGCTGTAGATGGGAGAGGGAGAGAACGAGCCCAGGCTGGAGCAGGAGTCAGCAAGGTAAGTATCATTGGTGTCAGTGGAAGGGATAGTGCCCCATCATTTGTGTCACTAATACCAACGATGGGGTACTATTCCTCCCCCCACTGGCACCAACGATGGGACACTATTCCTCCCCCCACTGACACCAACGATGGGGCACTATTCCTCCCACTGACACCAATGATGGGGCACTATTCCTCCCCCCACTGACACCAACGATGGGGCACTATTCCTCCCCCCACTGACACCAACGATGGGGCACTATTCCTCCCACTGACACCAATGATGGGGCACTATTCCTCCCACTGACACTAATGATGGGGCACTATTCCTCCCACTGACACCAATGATGGGGCACTATTCCTCCCACTGATACCAATGATGGAGCACTATTCCTCCCACTGACACCAATGATGGGGCACTATTCCTCCCACTGATACCAATGATGGGGCACTATTCCTCCCACTGACACCAATGATGGGGCACTATTCCTCCCACTGACACCAATGATGGGGCACTATTCCTCCCAATGACACCCACAATGGGGCACTATTCCTCCCACTGACACCCACAATGGGGCACTATTCCTCCCACTGACACCCACAATTGGGCACTATTCCTCCCACTGACACCAATGATGGGGCACTATTCCTCCCACTGACACCAATGATGGGGCACTATTCCTCCCACTGACACCAATGATGGGCACTATTCCTCCCAATGACACCCACAATGGGGCACTATTCCTCCCACTGACACCCACAATGGGGCACTATTCCTCCCACTGACACCAATGATGGGGCAGTATTCCTCCCACTGACACCAATGATGGGGCAGTATTCCTCCCACTGACACCAATGATGGGGCACTATTCCTCCCACTGACACCAATGATGGGGCACTATTCCTCCCACTGACACCAATGATGGGGCACTATTCCTCCCACTGATACCAATGATGGGGCACTATTCCTCCCACTGACACCAATGATGGGGCACTATTCCTCCCACTGACACCAATGATGAGGCGCTATTCCTCCCAATGACACCCACAATGGGGCACTATTCCTCCCACTGACACCAATGATGGGGTACTATTCCTCCCACTGACACCAATGATGGGGCACTATTCCTCCCACTGACACTAATGATGGGGCACTATTCCTCCCACTGACACCAATGATGGGGCACTATTCCTGCCACTGACACTTATGGCAGTGGTTCTCAACCTTTCTAATGCCGCGACCCCTTAATACAGTTCCTCATGTTGTGGTGACCCCCAACTGTGGGTATAAATGTAAGTTTTTGTTGGTATCCCATTTATACCCACAGTTGGGGGTCACCAGTGCCCAGTGTTACCCACCTGTGCGCAGCAGTGCCACCCATCAGTGCCGCCCATCAGTGCTGCCCATTAGTGCCCAGCAGTTCCGCCCATCAGTGCAGCATCATCATTGCCAGCTCATCAGTGTCACCTATTAGTGCCTCCTATCAGTGCCCATCAGTGCTGCCTATCCATGCCACCTCATCAGTGCCCATCAGTGCTGCCTATCAGTGCCCATCAGTGCTGCTTCTTCAACACACATCAGTGAAGGAGAAAAATTACCTGTTTGCAAAATTTTATAATAGACATTTTTTTGCTCTTTTTTGTTTATAGCACAAAAAATAAATCACCCAGCAGCGATTAAATACCACCAAAAGAAATCTCTATTTGTGTGAAAAAAAATGATAAAAATGTCATATGGGTACAATGTTGCATGATCGCGTAATTGTCATTCACATTGCGACAGCGCTGAAAGCTAAGAATTGGCCTGGGCAGGAAAGGCGTATAAGTGCCCAGTAGGCAAGTGGTTAACTACTTTGTGACCACAATCTCCCTTTACAGTGTTCATGCACAATGCCTGGTGTTAAGTAACATTGCAAAGAACTAGAAATTTCGCCTGAACCCGAGGCCCATTGCAAATAATTTGCAGCTGCACATGACAAAGGGGCGGCAATATTGGTGACATCAATGACCTAATCTGCCCATTAGTTGGGCAATGTTATCCCTTTGAGGACCAAGGGACGTATTTGTCCCATGTTTTTAATTGCGTGTATCATCTGATTAAGAACTTAAAACTCTTTTTTTTTTTTGGTTTGAGTCAAAATATTAGTTCTTATCAACAAACAACAAATGGATCTAGCTTTTTGCCAATTATTTCATGAAATGGCTTAGTTACAGCAACTGAAGTGTACGAACTTTAAAAACAAAAAAATTGATTCTTTTGGCGTTCCAAAATCTTACGGTCCTCAAAGGGTTATTGAACAAATATGGCCATGTGGCCATATTAGATCAGTGATGTCACCAGAATCCCTACCCCTTTGTTACATGCGGCTGTCCACAGCTGTTTGGGTCGGCAGCCTGTTATCATGGACAGGTCCCCCAGGTACCATGGGCAGCACAGTTGCTAAATGGTTAGCATTTCTGCCTGGCAGTACTAGGGTCGTTGGTTTGAATCCCAGCCACGGCACCCCCTGCCTGGAGTTTGCATGTTCTCCCTGTGCCTGCGTGGGTTTCCTCCCACACTCCAAAGACATGCTGGTAGGTAAATTGGCTCCTGTCTAAATTGTCCCTAGTATGTGTATGTATGAATGTAAGTTAGGGACCTTAGATTGTACGCCCCTTGAGGTTTAGGGACTAATGTAATAGTACAATATATATGTAAAGCACTCCATAAATTGATGCTGCTATATAAGTACCCGAAATAAAAATAATAAATGAATCACTAAAAGGAATGTGCTCCTAGTTCTCAGGCCCTGCTGCTAAGCTGACATTTTTCCTAGAGATATACTATATTCAAGTTAATTATTGTGGTTCTAAATTTGGTGTGGTCATTTAAGCTTCAAGGACCTCTGGTCAAAAAACAGTTAAACTGCTTGTGCTTTCAAAACACACTAAAAATGTAATGATTTCCTAAGATAAATGGCAAATGAGCCACCGATTCCATTCTTGCTGTAAAGAGGTAATGCCATGGTTTGTAAGATAATTCACAGTGTGGAAGATAAATCAGGACAGGGCAGACATAGCTCATGAATTGGATTGCAGAGTTAATTACAGTAAGAATTAGAATGGAGGTGTGCGTGCGTTATCCTGAGACTGGCGCTTCACAGTGATGGGAGCGCCATGTGACCCCAAGCGATGGATTAATTAAAATCGTACATTATGTGTCACCCATGATTGATTATCCTCTGTTAGGACATCATAATGTCTGACTTTCCTGGCTGAAGACGAAGCATCTCTGGCTGAGCAGATTACATTTACAATAGGAAATGGAGAGAAGAGAATAGAAATCATTCCCATTTATATTTCAGGGTAAGCCAATAAGCTTTTCTTGGTACAACCATATTAGTCATTTTCGAAAATAATAATTTGATAATTATTGACATCAATGACCTAATATGACTGAAAGTGGTCATGTGACCATATTACGTCAATAGCATCCCCACCCCCTTGTTATGTGTGGCTGCAGGGTGGGGTATTCCTCAGCTGTAGCTAATTGACAAATTATCATATGATAGCTTCCTGTGGGTTCACTTTAGCTCATCACTATTATTATTACAGGTACTTATGTAGCACCATCAGTTTACATAGCGCTTTACATATATATTGTACATTCACATCAGTCGTTAACCCTCAAGGACTGGACAATCTAAAGTCCCTAACTCACATCCATACACATACTAGGGCCAATTTAGACAGGAGCCAATTAACCTACCAGTGTGTCTTTGGAGTGTGGGAGGAAACTGGAGTACCCAGAGGAAACCCATGCAGGTACAGGTAGAACATGCAAACTCCAAGCAGGTGGTGCTGTGGTTGGGATTCGAACCAACAACCCTAGTACTGCCAGGTGCAAGTGTTAACCATTTAGCCACTGTGCTGCCCACTGTACACCCCTCATAGTCCTGAGCAGTTCTGACATTTCTGCTATGGGCTTGCCTATTCACTACTTGGAGTAGAACTTTTTTTTTAAATTTTGGATATATTAAAGGAAAGAGTTATGATCCCTGTCATGTTTTTTCTCCATCTGTGTTCCACCGAGGAAACTTCCCTTCACTTCCTGTCCCATAGCCAACACAAGAAGAGAAATCCCTCCAAAATTAGGGAATCCCCAGTTGTCACAAGAACTAGTGTCCCTATTGAAAGAATTCCCCTCTATTCCTGTTCTGGTAACAACCCAAACTGTGGGATTTTCTTTCACTTTCAGTGATACTGATTACCAGGATGAATAGAGAGAGTGAATATCTCTAATGGGGCAGAGACAGAAAAAACCCCAACAGGGGTTCTAGTGCTTTTTCACTCTATCCAAAACTGGAAAAAAAAAAAGAATAAATAAATAAATCCCTCCCCAAATAAACCCCCACCAAAAAGTCACACTTTCTCCCTAGAAAGTATAATATAATAAATAAACCTTTTTATAAATCTACCAGTACATACCCAATCGTAAATAAATATACATAAATAAATAATACATCAACTAATTAATCAATACATGCACAAACCATAAATCCATAATGTGTCCAATTAAATTGCAGTCTCAAATATGTCCAATAAAGTCCAAAATCCAAAATTCAAACTCAATCCAGTAGGAAGGATTTCAATCCTATACTCCAATCCGTGCAAATTCAAAACCACTCCAAAATGTGTTGATAATGCAAACACACCCAAAGAAAGAAAAAAAATTTAAAATAATATATATACTGTATATTATTAAATATTAATAAATATTATACGCCATGAGTACTCTCCAAATCCGCGAACACTCCGTGACCACTCTAATACTGTGTACACTTTGTGATCAAACCAAAAGTGATACTAAATACTATTACCCTCTGCGAGTATTCATAAGCATAACCAATATCGTTATCTTCCAATTCCTTCGCCTCAGGGGTTGGTCCTCCAAAATCCTCTTAAAGATAAGAAGACTCTTATAAAGATATCCAAGTGTAGGGACAATTTTATTCAAAAACTTACATCAGGATAACCAACTTTCAGCTTTCTCAGTGGCTCAGATACAGCCCTGCAAACAATAACATAAATCCACGTGTTGACAACCAACAAAAAATGGCCGCGGCGACACTTCCGGTTAGCGTACGTGCGTGTTGACGTCACATCCCTTAACACGTTTTGTCAGATGAAGTCCGGATGTGACGATGTGGTAGATTTACAAAAAGGTTTATTTATTATATTGGGAAAAAAAAAAAATGCTTTTAGTTCTCTCTTTAACCAGTTCAGCTCCGGAAAGTTTTCCCCCCTTCCTGACTAGGCCATTTTTTGCTATTCTAAATTGATATTCTTTTTTCGTACAAATATAGCTTTCTTTTGGTGGTATTTGCTCACCACTGGGTTTTTTAATTTTTTTGTGATATAAACGAAAAAAGACTGAAAATTTATAAAAAACCCAAACAATATTTTCTATTTTGGTTATAAAAAATATCCAATAAACTAAACGTTTGTCATAAATGTAGACCAAAATGTATTCTGCTACATGTCTTTGGTAAAAAAAAAATCCCAACAAGTGTATAATAATTAGTTGGTGTGAAAGTTATAGCGTCTACAAATGGCGGTATATATACTGGAATTTACACAGCTTTTACTTTTTGACTGCCTATCACATTTCTTGAGGTGCTAAAATGCCAGGGCAGTACAACCCCCCTCCCCAAATTACCCCTTTTTGGAAAGTAGACACCCCAAGGAATTTGCTGAGAGGCATGTTGAGCCCATGTAAGATTTAATTTTTTGCCACAATTTTTTGGAAAATGATGATAAAAATGTTTTTTTTTTTTTGGTTTTTTTTTTACACAAAGTTGTCAGTTTAATGTTAAATTGCTCACACATGCCATGGGTATATGTGGAATTATACCCCAAAACACATTCTCTACTTTCCACCGAGTATGGGGATACACATTTGAGAGACTTTTTGGCAGCCTAGCCAAGTACAGGACCCCTAAATCAATAACCACCTTCAGGCTTTCAAAGGGCATATTTCCTCATGTCATTTCCTCACTACCTATCACAGTTTTGGAGGCCCTGAAATGCCAGGATATTACAAACACCCCTGGAAATTACCCCTCTTTGGAAAGTAGACTCCTCAAGGAATTGATAAGAGGCCTGTTGAGCCCATGGAAGATTTAATTTTTTGCCACAATTTTTTGGAAAATGACAAAAAATGTTTTTTCTTTTTACACAAAGTTGTCACTGAAATGTTATATTGCTCACACGTGCCATGGGTATATGTGGAATTACTCCTCTGGAAATTACCCCTTTTTGGAAAGTAGACACCCCAAGGAATTTGATAAGAGGCATGTTGACCATTTTTCAGATATTATTTTTTGTTTTGAGAAAGAAAAAATAAATTTTTGTTTTCTCTCTTCATTTTCCAAAAAACAAATGAAACCTGCAAAATACTCACCTTGCCCCTTGGAGTGTTTTGGATTGTCTACTTTTCAAAAAGAGGTCATTTGGGGGGGGGGGGGGTGTGCTTCTACTATCCTGGCATATCAGGGCCAACATTAGAAGCTTATGCCACACATCACCCACTCTTCTAACTTCCAAGCCATTTCTGACACTTTTTGTTTACATGAATACACAGTTTTTTTTGCTAGAAATCTACTTGAACAAACATTATATGCAGGGGCGGACTGACAACTCATGGGGCCCCCGGGCAATAGGGGATCATGGGGCCCCTGTGTCCTTGCCCAAGCTCAAAAAAGCCTATGAAAAAGGTACCAGGGGCATCTCATGGGGCCCCCTACTGACCCCGGGCCCTCGGGCAGTGCCTGAGTTTCCAAATGGTCAGTCCGCCCCTGCTATTGACAAACAGTATTCTTCATCAACCTGGCTACAACTTTCTCTTATGCCCTTGTCATGGACCATTTTCTTTCACTTCCACCATAGATTTTCAATTGGATTGAGGTCCGGACTATTTGCAGGCCTTGCCATTGACATTCTATGTCTTTCTTGAAGGAAAGTTTTCATGGCTTTTGCCCTATGGCAAGATGCATTATCATCCTGAAAAATGATGTCATCACCAAACATCCTTTCAATTGATGCAATAAGAAAAGTGTTCAAAATCTCAATATAAACTTGTGCATTTATTGAAGATTTAATGACTTTCATCTCCCCCATACCTTTACCTGACATGCAACCCCATATCATCAATGATTGTGGAAATTTGCATGTTTTCTTCAGGCAGTCTTTATACATTTCATTGGAACTGCACCAAACAAAAGTTCCAGCATCATCACCCTGCCCAATGCAGATTCGTGATTCATCGCTTGAATATCACTTTCGTCCAGTCATGCACAGTCCATGATTGCTTTTCTTTAGCCCACCTTGTAACCTTGTTTTTTTCTGTTTAGGTATTAATTATGTTTTTCCTTTGGCTTTTCTGTATGTAAATCCCATTTCCTTTAGGCAATGTCTTACAGTTCGGTCACAGACATTCACTCCAGTTTCTGCCCATTTGTTCCTCATTTGGTTTGTTGTGCATTTTCTATTTTCAAGGCATATTGCTTTCAGTTCTCTATCTTGCCACTTTGATGCCTTCCTTGGTCTACCAGTACGTTTTACTTTTACAACCTTCCCATATGATTTGTACTTGCTCCAGATTTTAGACACAGCTGACTGGGAACAACCAACATCTTTTGCAACATTCCGTGATGATTTACCTTCTTGAAGACGTTTTATAATCCTCTCCTTTGTTTCAACTAACATCTCTGGTGTTGGAGCCATCATTCATGTCAGCTTGGTGCAACAGCTCCCCAAGGGGTGCAAGGACTCTTTTTTTACCTGCAGACTAATTAGCAGATGGAATCTGATGCAGATGTTTGTTTTAGAACTGCAAAGTACATGGTGATTCCATAATATTTTCCTCACAGTTAAGTGATTCCATATTTTCCTCTGCTTGATTTATAAAAACAGTTGCAATTGACTACAGTTTTCTTTCTTTTTTATTGTTTTTAAGTGTTTCTTAAAGCCAGAAGGTTGGAATGTTAAATGAAAATAATGTTGAGGCATGCCTGTGATTTGTTTTTTCTTTCTACACAATTCAACAGTTGAATGAACATTTTCCAAGATTGGTGATTCCATACTTTTTGCCAGAGGTTGTATATGGCGCTCTTCCGGCCATTCCAACCAGCCACAATCTGCCTGCATAGAGAAGCCCAATGATGACCCACCTGTCCAATCTTCCTAGCAGGGCTTTGTATATATTTGGACTGGCTGGATAGAAATACAAATTCATGGACAGGTGATGCAGATTTCAGAGGTGTATTTAGCTGTTGTCCCGGAATTCAGCTTTAAAGGAAGCCAGAGTGATGAGGCTCCCTCATTCCCACCGCGGAAATCTAGAAGGTGTCTTTGATCTTGCAGCAAGCAAACCTGAACGTCTCCTACAATGTTGAGAGATGACAGTGACAGATGGGCCGGCTGCTTGTTTAGCGCCTCACGAAAATCACGCCATAAAAACTTGTTATTTTACTGGTGTCAGCGTGATTTACATTTTTCATGCCGGCTTTGAAAGACTCGTTATGATTCTCTGTCATAAAAAAGAGTCACCAGAGTCTTCATAAACAATAAGAGGTAAAGGGGAAATATTTCTCAAGTGACTGCTGACAGCTGAGCTTACAATTAAATATTTCTTGTATCCGCTGTGATCTTCAAACACGTGAGATGGGCTCCTGATGAAGCTGCTTGGGCAGCAACATGCGTAGAGCCTTCAGTCACCAGTTCCTATGGTACTTTCCATCATCCTTCACTGCCCCATTCACACAGAACGAATGTACGTGCAGTATTGCAGGACGAATAGATCTGTACATTTTTTTTATTAGTGATCATGTGGGGTTTTCTCTGGGAAATACTATTACTGTTGTCTGGTGTGTAAGGTCCTGCACTTGGGGGCTAAGAATATGCATGCATCTTACATACTAGGGGGGTACAACTGGGGGAAACAATGGTGGATAAGGATCTGGGGGTTCTGGTAGATCACAAGCTTAATAATGGCAGCAATGCCAAGCTGCGGCTTCTAAAGCGAGCAAAATCATCTCTTGTATTAAAAGAGGTATAGACTCCAGAGAGAGAGATATCATTTCCCCCGGTACAAATTATTAGTAACACTCATCTGGAATATGCAGTTCAGTTTTGGGCACCAATTCACAAAAAGAACATTGGGGCACTGGAGAAAGTACAGAGAAGGGCAACCAAACTGATGAGAGGAGATCAGCTATGCGGAAAGATTAGAGGAACTGAATGTATTTTCTCTTGAGAAGAGGAGGTTTGGGGGGATATGATCAACATGTATAATACATAAGGGGGGAAATGATCTCCATGTATAATACATAAGGGGGGATATGATCTCCATGTATAATACATAAGGGGGGATATGATCATCATGTATAATACATAAGGGGGATATGATCTCCATGTATAATACATAAGGGGGGATATGATCTCCATGTATAATACATAAGGAGGGATATGATCACCATGTATAATACATAAGGGGGGATATGATCACCATGTATAATACATAAGGGGGGGATATGATCACCATGTATAATACATAAGGGGGGATATGATCACCATGTATAATACATAAGGGGGATATGATCTCCATGTATAATACATAAGGGGGATATGATCTCCATGTATAATACATAAGGGGGATATGATCTCCATGTATAATACATAAGGGGGGATATGATCACCATGTATAATACATAAGGGGGATATGATTTTCCATGTATAATACATAAGGGGGGGATATGATCTCCATGTATAATACATAAGGGGGGATATGATCTCCATGTATAATACATAAGGGGGGATATGATCTCCATGTATAATACATAAGGGGGGATATGATCTCCATGTATAATACATAAGGGGGATATGATCTCCATGTATAATACATAAGTGGGGATATGATCTCCATGTATAATACATATGGGGGGGATATGATCTCCATGTATAATACATAAGGGGGGATATGATCTCCATGTATAATACATAAGGGGGGATATGATCTCCATGTATAATACATAAGGGGGGATATGATCTCCATGTATAATACATAAGGGGGGATATGATCACCATGTATAATACATAAGGGGGATATGATCTCCATGTATAATACATAAGGGGGGATATGATCTCCATGTATAATACATAAGGGGGGATATGATCTCCATGTATAATACATAAGGGGGATATGATCTCCATGTATAATACATAAGGGGGATATGATCTCCATGTATAATACATAAGGGGGGATATGATCAACCATGTATAATACATAAGGGGGGATATGATCAACCATGTATAATACATAAGGGGGGATATGATCTCCATGTATAATACATAAGGGGGGATATGATCTCCATGTATAATACATAAGGGGGGGATATGATCTCCATGTATAATACATAAGGGGGGATATGATCTCCATGTATAATACATAAGGGGGATATGATCTCCATGTATAATACATAAGGGGGGATATGATCTCCATGTATAATACATAAGGGGGGGATATGATCTCCATGTATAATACATAAGGGGGGATATGATCTCCATGTATAATACATAAGGGGGATATGATCTCCATGTATAATACATAAGGGGGATATGATCAACATGTATAATACATAAGGGGGGATATGATTCTCCATGTATAATACATAAGGGGGATATGATCTCCATGTATAATACATAAGGGGGGGGATATGATCTCCATGTATAATACATAAGGGGGGATATGATCTCCATGTATAATATATAAGGGGGGGATATGATCTCCATGTATAATACATAAGGGGGGATATGATCTCCATGTATAATACATAAGGGGGGATATGATCTCCATGTATAATACATAAGGGGGGATATGATCTCCATGTATAATACATAAGGGGGGATATGATCTCCATGTATAATACATAAGGGGGATATGATCAACATGTATAATACATAAGGGGGATATGATCTCCATGTATAATACATAAGGGGGTATATGATCTCCATGTATAATACATAAGGGGGATATGATCTCCATGTATAATACATAAGGGGGGATATGATCTCCATGTATAATACATAAGGGGGATATGATCTCCATGTATAATACATAAGGGGGATATGATCACCATGTATAATACATAAGGGGGATATGATCAACATGTATAATACATAAGGGGGGATATGATCTCCATGTATAATACATAAGGGGGGGATATGATCTCCATGTATAATACATAAGGGGGGGATATGATCTCCATGTATAATACATAAGGGGGGATATGATCTCCATGTATAATATATAAGGGGGATATGATCTCCATGTATAATACATAAGGGGGGATATGATCTCCATGTATAATACATAAGGGGGGATATGATCTCCATGTATAATACATAAGGGGGGATATGATCTCCATGTATAGTACATAAGGGGGGTATGATCTCCATGTATATTAAATAAGGGGGGTATGATCTCCATGTATATATACATAAGGGGGGGATATGATCTCCATGTATAATACATAAGGGGGGGATATGATCACCATGTATAATACATAAGGGGGGGATATGATCTCCATGTATAATACATAAGGGGGGATATGATCTCCATGTATAATACATAAGGGGGGATATGATCTCCATGTATAATACATAAGAGGGGGATATGATCTCCATGTATAATACATAAGGGGGATATGATCTCCATGTATAATACATAAGGGGGGGGATATGATCTCCATGTATAATACATAAGGGGGATATGATCTCCATGTATAAATACATCAGTGGTTCCATATAGTGAACTCGGTGTATTCCCCCTGAGGTCATCACAGAGGACAAGGGGGCACTCTTTTACGTCTGGAAGAAAAGAAATGTAATCTCCAAACACGGAAAGGTTTCTTCACAGTGAGAGCTGTGAAAATGTAGGATAGACTCCCTCAAGAGTTGGTTCTGGCCAGCTCAGTGGATTGCTTTAAAAAAGTCCTGGATTCTCTCTTGGATACACAGAATATAACTGGATACTAACATTTATAGGTAAAAATGATCCAGGAAATATCCAATTGCCTCTCGGGGGAGCAGGAAGGAATATTTTTCCCTGCAGGAGTAAATTTGATCATGATTTGCTGGTTTGTTTGCCTTCCTCTGGATAAACTGTGGGTGTAGGATTATAACTTTTTTTTCTTCAATGGTTAAACTGGATGGACTTCTATCTTTTTTTTAGCCAGACTAACTATGTAACTATATGTGTGTTTGTCATGCAATAAAGATATTTCTATTTTTAATATATCTTGGTGGTGCGAACTATTGCTATATTTGGTAAAACCCCATTGTGTGTATTTTGGTTTGCCCCATCTCTAAACTTGGTGGTGCAAGTTTACTGAGGGATGGGGGGGGGGGGGGCGCAAGAGGGACAGTTGCTCTGAGTGCAATGAGTTTATGTGTTGGAGAGGCAACCCACAGAGTAATGGGGCAGTTGCACTGAGTGTGGTGACTTTATGGGTTGGAAGGGGGCAGCCCATAGCGCAAGAGGAGCAGTTTATTATGGTAACTTTATATGTTGGGATGCAGTCTATAGAGTAAGGGGGGGGGGGCAGTTTCCCTGCATACGGTGACTTTATATTTTGGGGGGGCAGTTCAAAAAGTAAGAGGGGCAGTTGCCCTGAGTGCAGTTGACTATATATGTTGGGCGGCAGCCC